ATGAATAAAACACTACATATTCGTGTGATATGTACATCACACAATTTATAAATAAACTCAAAAATGACAGAGCTCATTCAAGCATCCCAGAGGCTCCTGTCCTTCTTCCTTGTACAGCTACTCCTGCTGTGGTCTTTCTAGGATTGTCTTGGACCTGCCCCACCGACTCCTTTCCTTTTCTCTCCATCTCCAAGCCTTATCTTGCTTTACTTCCTTCCTAATCCAGTTTAGACTCCACGGTCTGTTTTTCCATTCCATTCCCGCTAAAATTTAAACTCCCGTGTCCTTAAGTGTCTGTGCCACAACCACCTGACAAAACCCCTGGACCAACCGTCTTCTGCATGTCTGCATGGGACCCTGTTGGAGAAAGAAAATTAGGTTGCTTCTGCCCAACATGAGTCCTCAGCCTCCACTGGGCCCTCAACACTGTCTGACAACCTCCCTAGTTTCCTAGGTCAACTCCCTGTCACAGCCTCTATGACAGCTCATTCCAATGTTCCCTCTTACCCTTGATTCCTGTTACATTCACTGAATACTGGGCTGCACACCAGTTCTCTGCCAAGTCTGTTGCTCCTGTGGGGGCTAAACAAAATATGAATACCTTTCCTCCCACCTTCTGAGTGCTCATAATCTTCAGATTAACAGAGACAGATTAACAAGAGAAAAATCAGACTTTAATAATTCACGTGGGAATTCACACAGGCATAAAAATTCCAAAGACAGGGAGGCAACATTGGGTATGTACGACATTTTGGACAAAGGAGAAAAGAGGGGGAGAGAGGTGTTAGATTTCAGATTGAGAATGGGCAATTTTCAGGTAGCTGAGGAAGAGGGAACACACCTGGCAGGCAGATCCTTGCGAGCCACCCAGAAACAGTGGCCCAGGGGGTGTCTGGCTAACAGGCACCTGCCTGAAGCCCTCCTGTTGGCCATTCTCACTGCGAATCAGGCTAAGGGGACACCCTACACTCTCCATCCTGGAGCAGGTTTCTCTGTCTGAATCTCTTGGGCAGGAAAGGGGGCAGGGTCGCAGGTTCTTTCTGAGTCTTGCTTCTTAATAAACAGCTTAAATCAATATCCCAAAAAGCAGCTTCAGGGGGGCACAATTGTGGTCCCTTCATACTTCACAGAGGAATTGGAGGTCCTCAAAGTGGAAGTTAATCAGCTTTCTCTTTCCAGCCCTCCAAAGTGACCTTTTTCTGTGCCTCGTGGAATTGTCCCTTGACTACCTTGTCGCAGCTGCTCCCTTGACAATAATGTTCCTTTGTTAATAAACCATTCCTTTCTTTCGTTGCAAAGCGGATGCTGACTAAAATTCTAAATCTATATTTGAACAAATCTTTGACTACGTAAGGGTAAGCAAAGATCTGACAGGCAATTAAAATTCATAAAATGAAGAGGAAAAATGACATATCAGGCTAATATATCATTCTAAATCAGTACTTTTATATCTATAATCAGACAACATTTAATGAAGTGAAAACTCTGCCTGCATGAAACTAGTCATAATAAAATTAGGCTTGGTTTGCTCTTTCGTGGAGAACATATTCCAGATGTTTAAGTGATTCCAAGAAAACCCACAGTATCATGGCTCCCTTCCACGTTTCCCCGCTGCTTTCGAAATAGAGCAAAATCTCATGAAATTCGGCTAGTATTTAAATAGCACATCCCATTGTTCAGAGTTAACTGTACTTTTTGACATTTTATGTTTAGTGTTTCATAATGTCAAGGTGAATTTATAGGGGCACTATTAAAAGCTCTAATATTTGAAATATAGCCAAATCCCAAGTTACACACACTGAAACGACACGGGACCTGTGTTCACTTTTTACGCAGTGTGACCGTCGTTCAGCGTGGAGGGGGCTCTACTTCTTGTTATATAGGCCTCTGGGCATTGACTGCACAGCCATCCTCGGGTGCTGTGGAGCTGCCACCAGAACCCAGTGCCAAAGTGACAGCCCACTTGGAGACTCTCCTGCCTCCTTTTGCTCTGCCATCGGTTATCTCCTTTCCTGCATCCCCATGTGCTTAGTGCCCTTACGATGATTTCTTGCTGGTTCAAGTTCTTCAGTCTGCTCAGGCCCGGCACAGTATCTGGCCAAAGTGAACCTTACACCACACTGTCCTTTATCAACTAACCTCCCCCCATCGCTCCATTTATCTTAACAGAAATTGAGGCGTCCAAATGAAACTAGACCTCTGGCTTTTTTACCCTTAATTGATGATAATACGAGTAGCAGTAGCAATGGCAGTAAAGCAGTAGTAGTAAAAGTTTATAATAGATGCTCTTTATTCCAATTCAATTAGGACCTAGAGGTCAACCATTAATTGAAAAAGACAGTTAAATCACAGAATCATAAAAAATATGTCTTAAACATTTTACTCCATCTTAAAACAGTCACCCATGTTTTAATACTGTGCGAAGGTTCTTTTCTTTGAGCATAGGTTCACTGATTAGAGTTCTCCACAAATCACGCTGGTAAGGCAAACTTTTTGATTTCCAGTTTCTTTCGTGTCGACAGAGTCCATCAGGAAACATGAGAATCGTTCTAAATACAGAATCCTTCTAAATTTTTTGGATTATTTTTCCAATCTTTTATGGTCTTGTCCACATTCAATTCAACAGTACTTCTATTTCCTTTTTAAGGCACTGTCCTGGTTTTCATAGAAATAATAACTCATTTTTTAGACTTACATTTCTTTGGTTAGAAAAATCTTTAATTAAGTCATGTAACTGCAATACTAACAGGCAAAAACGGGTTTGAGAACACAACTGACAGCTGTAACATACACACAACTGGCAACTCAGGTAATGAGAGCTGAAGACCATGCGTGCTGGCAGATACCTCTAACACCCTAGGTAGAGGTTGGTAGAGGCCCCAGACACTTTGTTTCACAGAGGAAGGAAGGCTCTGGCTAATCTGGTGGGTCTTAAGTGGAGATCCGTTGAGAGAACTTCTACTTCTACTATAATTGCTAGATATGAGTGCAAAAAAGAGGCCACAAGATCCCATGACAGTGGAGAGACAGAGAGACAGACAGAAGGAAGGAAGAGTAGGGGAGGAGAGGGGAATGGAGAGTGAATGTGGTGTCCAGGACTTTGGGGGAGAAAGTGAAAATCAAAATATTCTAATAAGAGACATTTGAATATGTAGATTATGTAATCCAAAGAGAGCAGAAATCTAGATATGATTGGACCGAGGCTGTGATTAGCACCGAGGGTTAACCCTGCAGTCTCCGCAGTGGTTTCCCATTCCCAGTTCCCACTCATAGGACATTTATTTGTGGTTACTGCAGATACATGTCATTACCCAGAAGAGATTGATTCCATCTTGTAATCGTTGTCTAGGTTTCCCTATTGTCATTTAAGAAATCTGTTTCCCAACCTTTCTGCAAAGTGATTATGCACCATTTACTTACAAGGAGATGAAATGTTATTTGCTATCGATCCCTATAAAAACTTTTCATTTGGGGCTGATTCCACTGACACGGAGTTGCATAAAGATGAATACGTCAGATACGATTTGTGCGTGTGTGTTCAGTCAGAAGGATGTATTTTGGTTGTCTTTGTTTTAATTCGTATGGATATATAATTCACGTACCATAAAATTCACCCTTTTGAAGTGTACAGTTCAGCAGTGTTCAGCGTATTTACCAGGTCGCGCCCCCATCACCACTGTCTGATTCCAGAATATTGTCATCACTCCCAAAAGAAAAACCATGATTCTTTAATATTTTAACGACCACTTTAAAGAAACTCTAAGTTCAACAGAGTGATTATCAGTGTCTTATGTTATCTAAGAACTATTTAAGAATCTTACACCCCATACAGTACCACAGTTTAGAGGTGAGATGTTCCGGTTGACTTGAGAGAATAATGAAATTCTTATTTAGAATGTACAGACTGGTTCCTTCCCTTTGGAATGGGAAGGAATCAGGCCATTATAGATGAGGTAGGTGTAAACAATGCTGTTGTTTTTTATCAACCAGAGAAATAACACCTGCCTAGACCAAGCAAGTCAAAACAGCACTATGACCAAGTAAATGTCGCTGTCCTTGTGCACAGACATTACATTACACAAACTGTTCTCCTAAGTGAGGGAATCTGTCCCTTAGAAATTGCTCATTGGAACATTTGGACGTCATGCATCATGTTAAAGATCCATAAATGTCATCGCAATAGGGTAGACGTGACGCATGGTGATATCCTACCCGTATCTGCATAGTGTTCTTCTGCTCCACAGATTGCCACGATGTATTGCATCGGAGAATCCCGATCTAGTGCTTCAGAGACAGCTGAGGAGCCCCGTGGGGGCCTTCTTAAGTCACTGCTCCAAGGACTAAAATACCAGGGGACCAGGAAGTCATTCTTAGAACTTGACAAAATACCCTAATCTCTAAATGAATCTATTTATTATGTAGTTGGTGCAAAGTATGAAATGTAATACTTTATGACTGAGCATATCTTTTTATTGTTAAAAAAAAGATCTATATCCGGTGGTGAGATGAGTAGAATTTAGAATCTAGCAGCACTATATTTTTTCTGTTACTTTACCAATCCAGAATTTCTTTGGAGAGTTATATAATAGTTCAGAACAGGCACTCTGGAGACAGGCAAACCTGGGTGTATGTCCCAGGTTTCTCAGTTTTGACCCATGGGATCTTGGGCAAGGTTGAAGCTCTGCAGGTTTGTTTTCTCGTGTATAAAATGAGAATTCTCCAACTATTAAGAGCATAGGGTTATTGTGTAGGAATAAAGTCAAACGATGTGTGGACAGAGCTCATCACAGGATTAGGCTACCTAAGAAGTACTCAAGAAATATTCTTTTTTACCCATTAACAAAAGAAATATTATTTTTTACCCATACTACCACTATGACAGAGCTAACGTCACTGATACCGCACCCCAAAGAGAGTAAGATATCTTGTAGTTCCCATGTGTCTGTTTCTTTGGTTTAAATATATTCACCTTCCAATTTGCCCTTGAATATTTCACACAGACACTTCGAGGAGAAATCGCGCCCCTCAAAGAGAATGTGAGCCACGTCAATGACCTCGCTCGCCAGCTCACCACATTGGGCATTCAGCTGTCACCATATAACCTCAGCACCCTGGAAGACCTGAACACCAGATGGAAGCTCCTGCAGGTAGGCACTTTATGAGCACTGCAGTTCCTTGTTTCAATAAGAGAATATACAGATAAAGCTTGTTTATGACGACCAAAAAAGCAATTTTTCACCTGATGTTCGCAAAAATATTTTGAGTGTAGGATATTTTATTTGCTAAGTCCTTATGTAAATGTTTTCGAATCTATTAGAATTAACTTTTATAAATGGATTAAAGTTAGGCTTTACTATATCTTGCAATAAATGTAGAAGATAATAGTGAATTGGGATTTTAAAATAAATTACTGGCATGCAATTACTTTGTACTATTATGACTTGGATTCTTAAAACATCTTTCCGTTTGGAATCCTAAATTAAACAAGAGCCAAAGGTAAGACAGTCTAAAATCTTCTAAAGAAAGAACATTCTACCACCAACCTACACATGGAAGTGTTTCATAGGTTTCTACAATAAATACAGGGAATGTAAGTGTGATCAAGGTTATTTAAATTCTCTGAGCCTCAATCTTTCATGTGAAGAAAATGGAGATATTAAATGTTTCTAAAATATTGGTTTATTATTAGGACAAGTAAGTCAAAACACATGGAAAGAACTTGGAACCCTACTAGTCGCATGGTAACACTATAAATTCCAACTCTTGGTGCTGTTGCAGTTATAATTATTACTATTATAACATACAGGTTTGGGAATCAGACTGAGTGATCTTGAAGTCTCTGGACCTTCTGATTGTTAGTTTTCCCATCTCTAACACGCTTGCTATAATATCAAATGAACTAATTCATGTCGAGTTGTTACTACAGTACCAGGCTCATAGTAAGGACTCATAAAACATAATGGTGGAGGAGGCGTGTCTATATGTTCCCCAGGTGAAGGGCACTGCGTTATACCCTAAAACTGGTTTGACCACAGAATTAGAGAATTGTTTCCTCTCCTTTTTCCAATTTCATAGGATGCAGAGTATATGCTACTGAAGACAGAGTGGCAACTGGGTGTAAAAAGATTTTCTTTCAGTATTTTAATAAGAAAAAAACAAACAATAAACCAGCTGACTTTTCCCAGTGGCAGTCCATTTAGGGGAATGATTGAAAGTCCTGTTAAAGAATTGCTAGATCTTTAATAAAAACAAGTTCCAAATTCAAGACCTCTTGAGATTTCATATAATTTAATTCTTGCTGTGATCAATAATCTTGAAATATTTGTATGAGAGAATGTTATAAGTGGCATCGACTAAAGCAAGGCAGTATAGTTAAGCAATGCATTCCTATGTCTCTCTGCTCCACAGTGGTTAGTTACTATTAAACCCAGTTTCACCTGGCCGGTGTGGCTCAGGGGTTGAGCATGGACCTAGGATCCAGGAGATCAGGGTTCGATTCCCGGTCAGGGCACAGGCCCAGGTTGTGGGCTCCGTCCCCGGTCAAGGGCCGGTCGGGGGCGTGCAGGAGGCAGCCGATCAATGACTCTCTCATCATTGATGTTTCTCTCTCTCCCTCTCTCTGAAATCAATAAAGATATATTTTTTTTAAATCTTAGCAATTTCATCTTTAGGATGCTTTCCATTTTAAGCATAAACAGGGAAAGTAATAAATGTCTAAGGAAAAGCACTGGCCACATTTGTTACCTCCCAGCACTCTTGAAATATATCTTAAAATTTATTTCAGAGAGCCGAACGCCACATCTGCTTCCAGAATGCACTCCAAGATTTGTCACAGTAGCATCTAAATTTACAAATAAGGTCAAAAGATTATGACCAATAGAAAAAGTTTCTAAAAGTCAATGCTAAGGGATCCATTATAGCTTGCGCTATTTATTTAGATGTAAAGTAGGAGGAAATATGAATAGCTTAATTTTCATTCATTCTTTAAAATAAATAAGGGCTTGGATGTGAGTATCAGGAAGTCCATGAAAGGAGACAGTGGGGTGACTCTGGAGTTAGTGCGAGGCCTAACTTCGCATTGGCGCTCGTCTCCTACTGCACCGTGTTACCTCGGGAAAGCCGGTTAACCGCTCCGCCTCAGCTCCCTCATTTATAAAATGAGACAGTCCATTTTGCCTAAGGTCACATGGAGTTCAATCCCCTGGCTCTGTATCTGGATGTGGGGGGAGACAGCCTATGACAAAATTCAGGTTAGCATCAATGGAGTTGCCCCCTGCATTCATCATGCAGACGGGGCTTGTTGGAATTCTGCTCCTTCTATAACTCTCCCTTTGAACCCCCCCCAGACCCACATACCAACAGTCTGTCCACGTTAAACAGTTCAGCTCGTGTGTGCTATATGCTCTTATTGTGGCAACTTTCACTTGTTGCTATTTTTGAACATGACCTTAAGGACATGCTTTAAAAGTGTTTTTAGCAGAAGGCTGATAAATCCAAGGTTTTGGTTTGCACATGACTGAGTCAAGTTGGTTTCTTCCTTTCTTTCTTTCTTTCTTTCTTTCTTTCTTTCTTTCTTTCTTTCTTTCTTTCTTTCTTTCTTTCTCTCTCTCTCTCTCTCTCTCTCTCTCTCTCTCTCTCTCTCTCTCTCTCTCTCTCTTTCTTTCTTTCTTTCTTCTCTTTTTTTTACCATAATTCTAACCACTCTGCTATATTATAAATGCAAGTCCTTGTTCAGAAAGTGAACAAAGCAAGAAATGAAGTTCACGTCAAACAGCTTTATCCCCATTACTGGAAGAGCAACTCAGAGTGAGAACATTTCACATTTAAAGGAATGGACATGAGACTAGAACAGTACCCAGCTTCTGTGGAGAGGAGTTTGAGCCACGTCAGTTACTCAGGTCATGATAAAAAAAAAATAAGTACAAATTCTTCTTCACTTCTTTGCTTAAAAAAAGAAAGAAAATCAAGAAACAGAGTAGTGGGAAGGCAGATATAAACCTTAAAAAAGAGTCTTAAATTTGGACAAAATAGTGTAGCAAAAGAAATAGTTACATACCACCAGGCTATGTCTACAATCAGAATATCCTGGGTTTAGTTACATGATGCATTAATTTTTATTTTAAAGGAAAGCCATGCTGTTTTTTTAGCTGTATGTGATAACAGTCAAAATGATAGAAACCGATAAACCATGTAGTTATGAACACCAGCAGCAAAGTAAGAGCCGGTTGCAGTTTATCTGTACCTAGACGTAGAGCATATGGACAGTTCTGTATTTATTTTGAATCCACAGGGAGAAGTATGGAGACATTGGTTGGTCTGTTTGAAACTTTCTGTGGAAATGAAACCATATTTTCTCCCTCACTGTGGGCACACTGGTATGGATGTTTCTACTCTTCCATTTGACAGTGTGTTTTTGGCGTAGGAAACCGTCGTTCCTTGTAGTCATTTAAGCCTCATGACATTATGATTCTGTGTTATGATTACATATTATATTTTCCCATTTACGAACAAGAAAACTGAGACTTAGAAACATCAAGTGACACAATCGCAGTCACACAGCATGTGAGGAGCAGTCAAGACGTCAGTCGGCCCTTCTGAACTGCAGCGCCCAGGCCCCTTTTCTTTCACCTTCCCAAAGTCCTATTCAGCTTGGCCTTAGCAAAGTCAGGCTTTACAGCTATTTGGGGCCACACAGGTATGAACCATTTCACTTTTTTCATGCTTCCTCTCTTTTTCAAATGATTCTCAGGGATATTAACTTTGAAATCTTGCTTTTACAAACCAACGGATGAATGAGCCCAGTTCAGTGTACCCCTTAAAAGCACACCTGTAGTTTCCAATTTAAAACTATAAAGCGTTCTATTTCTCCTCGTTGTCTCTAGAACTCAGCAACTGTAGTAAAATCAACCCAAAGTAATTTTGATGAATTAGCTCTTAAAGCAGAACCAGTGCTAATATTTGATCCAGTAGAAATGAGGACAACGCCACATGGGAAGAAAATGAAATCAGCGATAAAGCTTTGTCATTTTGAAGCACTGCACACACAGTGGTGCAGTCATGCTCTCAGTCACCAAGCACAAGCACTGCAGGGGAGCTTCTGCTCCCGGGAAGTGTCGTTCAGGAATATTCTCACCATTTCTCTGCATCACAAGTAAACCCACGGATGGCAGCAGGAGCTGCAAATGCCCTTTAATATCAAGAGCGTGTGTTTTATTGACTGGAGGACTGTATGGGATCTCATCACTTGAAAGACATTGAATATGAAGACATTTTCAGCTATGACTTTCTTTAAATATGTTTAAGAACAGGATCATGAATTATGCATGTTTTTTAAAGGTTTCCTAAGATTCTTCCAAAGTCATGCAGACAGTTATACATATATGCTGCCTATAAAAAAATGCACATTAAATATGAAAACACAAATAGGCTGAAAGTAAAAGGATTCATAAAGTTACGAAAGCTGGGGTGGGTAACATCATTAGTCATTAGGGAAATGCAAATTAAAAACACAGTGAGCCCAGCCAGTGTGGCTCAGCGGCTGAGCGTGGAATCTAAACACAAAAAGAACTCCCCCAAATGAGCGTGTAAATACAGAGAACATTGGTGGTTGCCAGACATTATGGCGGTTCCTGGTGAACTTCCAGTTGTAAAATAAATAAGTCAAGTCACGGGGATGTAATGTTCAGCATGGTGACTATTGTTAATAATACTGTATTTTGTTTTTGAAAGTTGCTAAAAAAGTAGATCTTAAAAGTTCTCATCACAAGGCAAAAATCGTAACTAGGTATGGTGATGGATGTTAACTAGACTTACTGTAGTGATTATTTCACGATATATACAAATATTGAATCACTGCATTTACCCCTGAAACAAATATAATATTATCAATCATTATACCTCAGTAAAGAAAAGCTATTTTGTCTCCTTTTCTTTCAAAAGTAACATTAAGTATATTCCACATCATCAGAGCGCAGAGATCATTAATGGTTGATAAAAGTCTAGAATAACAGTAAACCATGTTCGCCACAGAGTAAAGGATGCATATTTAATTTTTGGAATTTTTGGAATTATTTAAGCATTGGTTAGCTTGATGAATCCACAAGTGAAGACATGAATACTGTTTCTTCAGAAATGATAGTTTTGTTTC